GCAATAGAATATGAAACAAAGAGGAAATTTGCATATGTTTCAGTGTTATAAAAGTAAATCATTTACATTCCAGAGTTATGTTTTCAGTTTGTTGTTTATCTGCAGATTGAAGATAGCTTTTAAAATCAGTTTTTAAAAATTATAAAAGTAGTATTTGTACTTGAAAAAACTCAAATTTGGTGATAAAGCAAGTTTTGCCTCCTTCCCGAACCCCAGCCCTTTACTTGAGAGGAACTGTTGTGTTCAATACTCTTCTAGAAATGTTCAAACATATTTCTATTTTTTATAAACAATGATTTGTTTATACTCTTTTGCTATCTGCTTTTTTTCACTCAACAATATATTTTAGAGTTCTCTCCATATTGTCACATTAATTTACCTTACTTTTTGAAGCTATGTAGTGTCCAACTATATGAACGTGTATCTGCTTACTTACATAAAAACCTCATAGACCAAGTGTAGTGTGTTAATGTTTTTTCAAAGGTGTATAAATTTTTTATTATGGTACACAAGGTTTTCTACAGGATAATTGTATGTGGATGTATATTTTATTTCTGTTTATATACACATTTCCATTTACCTCATATGATAAAATCACTGGTTTGGAAAAGACTTTAAAAGCCATCTTAAACAGGATCCTTTAATCTCTTTGATAAAATATCTGCCACATGGGAGGAGGAATAGTTCTTGTTTGAACTGGGAACCTACTGTTACTAGAGATAGCCCCATCAGTTTGGATGCTTTCAGCTGTGAGGGACAGAATGCCTGATTAAAAGTGACCTAAACAGCAAGGACATTTAATGACTCCACACCCAGGAAGTCCAGAGGGAGGCTATCATAGATTTGGTTAATTTAGCATTCAGCTTCTCAGAATCACTTAGGTTTCCCACAGCATTTCAAGATTGTTGTGATGGTCCAAGCATCATAACGTCATGCAGCTGTGTTCAAAGGCAGACCACCAAAATGGTTATTCTTCCCTGCATATCAAAGAGAACATCCTGTCCCAGAAGCCCCTTGGTGGACCTCCCCTTACCATTCCACTGGCCAGAATCATGTTACATGCCCAAGCTTTAGCTGCATGAAATTCTGGGAAAGCGTGGTCTCTAGAATATTCAGATTCTATTGTAATAGGCGTTCTTAGGAAGGAAGGTTGAGAGGTGTGGGAGAGATGTTGAACAGATACTGTGCAGAGTTGGCTAGAGTAGCCAATTTCATATCTGGATGGAGAGTCAAAATCTGTCTCCTAGTAACTCCACATTGGTCAAAGGGGGACTGTATAAGCCCTCCCTAAAGAACAGGACTTCTGATGAAGGAAGTACGTAGAAAGCTGTAATGTTGGCTTTCTTTCCCTTCTGCTATACTCCTTTGCATAGTCCTTTATGTACTGTCATAATGGTGAAAAGTACAGATCATGGTTTTCTGTGGTTCAGACTCTCCTCTTGCTTTTGTTTTAGACTATGTGTCATAGCTGCATTGGTAACTAAAGTTCTTTTTAGCAGTTCTTCAAAATGTATAATTGCTCCTTTATTTATTATTTCTGCTTTCATTGTGCCATCCCAGATATCTGAAATAATAAGCTGAAAGAACTAAGTCAGAACTTCTGCTAAGTATTTTTTTTTCTATAATATAATGTTTTTATTTGAAAGTATCAACAATCTACTTTTTTTAAAAAATAATTAATCAGTATTTTTTATTATGGTTTTGTGGGGTACAGTTAAGGGTTAGATGTACAATTACGTTTCATTCAGACACCCTGTTGATAAGAGGTGTTTTCCCAGCCCCAGACAGATATTTGCTACTGTTAATCCCATTCCCCCCCATAGTTTCCCAGTACCGTCAGTCATTTTCTTATAGTATTACATTGGATGTTCAAGGTCCATTATATGAGTGAGAACATGTGATATTCTGATCTTTGTTTCTGTGAGAAGTCACTCAGTATTATAGACTCTAGTTCCATCCAGGTTGCTACGAAATTCATGAATTTGTTCTTTTTTATGGCTGCGTAGTATTCCATCGTGTATATGTACCACATTTTTTTAATCCAGTCCTCTTTTGATGGGCAGCATGGTTGTTTCCAGGTTCTTGCTATTGTGAACAATGCTGCGATAAACATACGTGTGCAGGTATCTTTTTTATAGAGTGATTTGTGTTCTTCAGGGTATATTCCCAGTAGGGGGATTGCAGGGTCATATGGAAGGTCAATTTTTAGAGCTTTTAAGAATCGCCACACTGCTTTCCACAGAGGTTGCACTAGTTTACACTACCACCAGCAGTGTAGAAGTGTTCCCTTTTCACCACACCCTCTCCAGCAGCTGTTATTTTTTGAGTTGTCGATAATTGCCATTCTGACTGGAGTTAGGTGGTATCTCAGTGTGGTTTCGATTTGCATCTCCCTGATGATTAGTGAGGTTGAGCATTTCTTCATGTGTTTGTTGGCTTCTCGAATGTCTTCTTTTGTGAAGTGTCTGTTCATATCTTTTGCCCATTTTATAATGGAGTTGTTTGTTTTCTTCTTTTCAGTACGTTTCAGTTCCTTGTAGATCCAGGATGTTAAGCCTTTGTCAGACCTAGAGTTGGCAAATACTTTTTCCCAGTCTGTAGGCTGTCTCCCTGCTCTCTTGATGGTTTCTTTGGCTTTGCAGAAGCTTGTCAGTTTAATAAGGTCCCATTTGTCTATCTTCTCTCTTAGTCCTGTGGGTTTCAGGTTTGTACAGGAATTGGATGCCAGTTCC